CACACACACACCATATGATTCTTTTTCTATTAATCCAATTTCAATATGCAGTTAGGACATCTATATATGTTAATAAGTTAATTTCTACAGTTAACTTTCTCCACTGATGTCCGTTTCTATCTATGTAGTTAATTTTAATCTTGGCTTCAATCTTAATCTTAATTTAATTCTTCTACTTTTAAGAATTAGAAAAAGTTGAACCGAGATTAAAGTTAACCTATATCGGTAGACATGGGAATAAGGAATTATTTTCGGTTTATTTTGAGTTGAAAACTGAAGTCTTATAAATTTTATTTTATTTTTTTATATGAAAGTAGGACATTAAATATAACATGCAGCTGTGATAGGGATTTATTCCTTGACGTGCGTGCCGAGTAATGATTAGTGCGAGGCGTTGCTATGAATCAATTAATTATGATACGTATAATTATAATTAATAAAGCGTTCGTGTTACGTTTATAGTTCATTTTACATTTATCCATTACGACTGATCGCTTGGATAATTCAAACAAAATTTCAAATATTATTGCAGTTTACGGTCGGCGAGTATTTTGACCAATAACATCGCTCTTTGTAAGAACGACATCAAATACAAATCCATTATATTTATGGGAAATTAATAGCATTCCTACATCAGAATGATGGAATGCGAAGTTGTAAATTCCTTTCTCGTTTCCAATGTGAATTTATTCGCCACGTAGTCATGCTTAATTCGTCGGTAATTATACCCGCGCTCGCGTACATTCTTCGCTTTGAAATTTCATCGTAAGCGCACAGCCATCCGTCAGTTATCCGCGAAACAATTTCATATTTTCAATGTTAAACTCAGAGTGAATACCAATATCGCGAAAATTTCTCGCGACATACCCCGTTCCTCCGGCATTGCCCCGACGGCCCATTTGCATAGTACGACCGCCAGCCAACGGCATTTTCGCGCGACGTTTTTATTAGGCCGATGCAGCCGGCAGGGAATTTCTTTTCCGCCGTTTTGCGAGATCCTGAATTGCGCGCGCTGCATCGCAAATCCGACATTTGCTTTTACAGGGCAAAGGGAAAGACTTTCTGTCGCGGTTGACGCTATTAGCGTGTGCCATAGTAGGTAGACGGCTACATTTACAACTGGCCACACGAAAGCCGAGCAGCAACTTGTGTACATTTCAACGGCGAGTGCACTTAAAATTCCCATTTACTTGCTGCACGCAGCCATTCGTATCGGCGTGAACGCATCCTCGCACGAAAGGGGTTGCCGACCAAGTGAAACCTACTATCTCGTTGCGCCATTGTTACGAGCGAGAGGGACGATACGTGCAAAAGTGTTTTGAAGTATAATGGTAGCACTCTTGATCGAAATAAAAGAATTTTTCCCGAAGGTACTTAATTTATTAGCGGTAATAATTTGAAATAAATATTTTAATTATATATCTTCGTAATTATAGTAACCTCTTTTTTATTTTATTTTAATTTGAATGAAATTTCTCTTATCTCTTTCATTATTTCAAATAATGCAAGCATTTTGGAGTACTGTTTCATAGAATAGTCTTGTTTAAATACCAGAAAAACGATTAAGCTTGGTGAACTTTTTCATAGCAATTGCAAAG